ATATCTACATGAGTCTAAGAGTTTGAATTCAGCTCGGAGGGCCATGCAGCCTGACTATCTGTGGGAAATCATGTTAATTAAACAGGATTTTGGAAGGACATCGGTTCGCATACAGTTAAATGTTCCTGCCACACTAGAAACCAATCGGGAAGTCGAGGTTATTTTCTGTATAGTTTAAATTCTGTTGGGGTACACATTTCTGAATGGATGCTTGATCATATAGTTCGCACTTATCTTCCTGAAAAGGTATTATTCAGAAAAGGAATGAGTTGTGGAACCATTAGGATCTTGCAACAAACGCCCAACAGTCACTAAAGCAGAGTAGGGAGGCAACTTTCCATAATAGAGACTGAATGATGACGTCATACACTCTCCACTTTGTTTTAAAAAAATATAAATTTAAAAAATATAACTGCTGATGTCTGGGGGACAGTGATTCGCCTACATGTTATCAATGCTGGCATACCATAAAGAATAAATGATGAACAGTTTAGTTTGTGCCTTCAAGTTGTTGCCCATAGGAAGACGCTACTGGATATAACCTAATGGAATATCTTCAGAACGGCTCCACCTGACACAAAACTCATATAGGTGAGTAGAACATGATGGAATAACGTAAAATCAAGAGGCCATGGTAAAAAAAAAAAAAACGGTGTTCCCCTTTAATGGAATTCTCATGTCATACTGCTTCCTGTCTGATTAAGCAAATCATTTAATAAAACATTATTTGGCCAAATGTTTTTATTCACCCTTAATGGATTTGCATTGTGAATTGGTCTGAAAACATTCCAATTCTAGCTAATTTTGATCAGATCCCAAATTCTTCCAGATAACTTTGGTTTCAAACACAACATCCATCTTAAACTGTAATATTGTTTTCAACCATGTTCCTCTTCTTCTTTTCACATAGTAGTTAGTTTAGTTGAGTTTCACTAGTTTTAGCTAAGAGTTTTTAACTGAAATATGATTGACTTGGAGCTGAATGATTTTGTTAATGAACTCTTATATTTTGAATAGAAGTTGTGCACGGCATAAATGATCTAGAAATAAGTAAACATTTCTTAAATTAAGTGTATTTACCCTTGATTTGAATAGTTAAATTTGATAATATGCCAATGGAATGAGTATTTTTACCCTTAAAATAAGATAATTAGATGAAATGCACTTGAAATAAGAGGATGCAGTTCTGTTTTCTTATTTTAAATCTAAATTGTCTTGTTCCATTGGCAAAATGCCTCTTTAATCTCCTCAATTTAAGAACAAATGCACTTATTTTAAGAAAAAATGACTTATCTAGATTTTGATTTTTTTCCAGTGTGGTGAATTTATTCCATGTATGGATGGACAGAATTATCTGTTTGACCATGATTAGTGCTCGAATCACTCTTTCATTATTATTATCTATTGTTCTAACACACAGCTAGTAGGGTGTGTGTTCATAAACAGTATATGACAGTCCAAATAATATCTGATTAAAAAGATATTTGCCACCCCTACCGGGGAGGGAAATAAACATCTTAAAGTATCAGAACGTAATATGAATTCCCAGCTGGCTGGGAATTGAATATAACAGTTATTAACAACAATAAAATGGCGTCCAACCTGGATGGGCATTGATTATACAGTTATTCACAACACAGGCTAACAAAAGAAGTCAAACGACCCCCATTCCAAAAAGGCATTTTCGTCTCGTCTTTATTAGTCCACGAAAATTATTTCTGATTTACTCCCAGTTATTGTTTATTAGTGGGGATTTTCGTCTCGTCTCGTCTAGTTTTCGTTCGGTGAAAAATGTGCGTTGACGAAAATATTTTCGTTTGGTTTTCGTTAACGAAAGTAACACTAGTTTGCATGTTTTCTAAGCAAAAACAAGGCTTATTTGGGCTACTGTATAAAGCCTTTAACTCAATTCTATTCCTGACATTTTGAATTAGAAAAGCNGTTTGCATGTTTTCTAAGCAAAAACAAGGCTTATTTGGGCTACTGTATAAAGCCTTTAACTCAATTCTATTCCTGACATTTTGAATTAGAAAAGCTTCCTGGATGGGAAGAGAAATGTCTTCAAACTTGGAAAAAATGTCCAGTGAATTGTGTTCTTTTTAAAACTTTTTTGGAAGTCATTGAAAACCTGTAAATAATCCCAAATGTTTATAGAAAATTTAATGTTTTTTCCTCATGAAATATCAGAATTTTTATTTATCACTATTTGATTATCGAAATGTAATATCCTTTTGTTTAAATTTTGTAAACTTTACAAAAAAGGATAACTTATGGTTGCCTTGTTAGTTGTAAAACCATTTTCAGTTCCTCTGCAGATACATGAAATGTGAGTCAGTTTTACATGTACTTTCATTCTAGAAATGTTGATTCAGTGCCTACATTTTAGAATTACTTATCATAAAGATATCCAACACCAGATGTTATGAACAGATTTCTGTGCTGGAGAAACTTTGAACAGTAATATTTAATGCTTCATGTAGAAATATACAGCAAAAACATAAAATAACAATTAGATTATTGAAAGAAAATTGTAAATCCATGTCCTGTTTTGGTCAGGATGAAGCATCATTCGATTTTGCTTTTATCTTCTAGTACATCTCCTTCTTTTTAAATCATCAGAATATAGGATTTAAGGCCGGATTAGTGTTTTATTTGCTTGCACCGGATGTTACGTACAGAAGGAGGTTGAGCACATGGAAGACTGTAATTAGACGGATACTTTATTTCTTTAATTACAGCATATTGCATCCTCTGTTTGGTTGTGACAGAGGGGATTACAGCAGGCCCAGAGGATACGCACATGCGCAGTGAGTACCCTACCTCCATCCTTTAACCCCCCCACCACCCCCAGCACATCATCCTCTCTGGTTGAGATGAGGACCTGCATCAAGCTGAGGCAGAACACACAGAGGACACTTTGTTTACTCTTTCAAAATAAAACATCTGAGTAAGTCCCAATAAATGTTATTACATTGATTTATTTCCGGCTCATTCTACTATAAAGAACAAATATTTCTGCCGGAAATAATTAGGACGTTATTAACTATTAGACTATTAATTAAAAAATAGTACTGCTTTAATCATTTTTGTTGTTGCTGTTTATATTATTATCTTGTGCTGACTGGAATGTGTGAGCCATGGAAAACTGAAGTTTATGCTTATTTGAAAACAGACAAAAAGAAAAAACAAAAAAACTACAGAAAACAAATGGTTGTAAGTTAAATAATATTAATAAAATGCTTTTTGTGGTGAATCCATGAGGAATGCAATCTCTGAAACTATCTCAATCATTAATTTAAGTCGAAATTTAGAGCAATAACTACTATAAAACAAAAAGAAAAGAAACATTCTTTTTCATAGAGTTGTGTCTCATTAGAAGTAACAATAAATAAAAATCGTATTTTTGAAAAACAGCTTTCTTTGATTCGAATAATTTATTTTTAACATATTTATTATTCATAACAACATATTTATAACAACAATTTTTTTTTTATGGGAAACTAAAAGTAAGCTTGTTACGACGGAGTATTAGGGCTAGAAATTTTTTTTCTTCTATTTTGAGAATAAAGTCGTAACATGAGAATAAAGTTGTAAAGTTACAACAATAAAGTCGTAAAAATTACAAGAATAAAGTCTCAAGGAGAATATTCATAAAATTACGAGTATAAAGTCATAAAATTATTAGAATTATGTTTTAAAATGATAAGAATTAAGTCGCAACATTACGACAAAGTCCTAAAATTAAGAGAATAAAGTAGTAAAATAATGAGAATAAAGTCTCAATGAGAATAGTCATAAAATTACGAGAATAAATTCAGAAAATTACGAGCACAAAGTCGTAAAATTACGAGAATTATGTTATTACGAGAATAAAGACGTAAAATTACAAGAATAAAGTCATAACAAGAATAAAGTAGTAAAATTAAGTAAATAAAGTCATAAAATAAAGAGAATAAAGTCGCAATGAGAATAGTCATAAAATTACGAGAATAATCTAGTAACATTACGAGAATTAAGTCGTAAAATTACGATAATAAAGTCGCAACAGGAATAGTCATAAAATTACGAGCATTAAGTCGCAAAATTAAGAGAATAAACTCGCAACATTACGAGAATAAAAACCTAAAATAACGAGAATAAAGTCGCTAATAGGATTGTCTTAAAATAAGAGATTAGTCATAAAATTACGAGAATAAAGTCCTAAAATTATGAGAAATTCGTAAAATTACGAGAAAGTTGTAAAATCACAAGAATTACGAAAATTACGAGAATTAAGCCGTAAAATGATGAGAATAAAATCGCAAAATTTTCCAAGAAGCCCTTTCTTCCCTAAAATGAGGAATGTGGAGCATCATGTGAAGTTATTCTTTAGCATCGGTTTGACAAATCACGAAATCTTTAAGCAGCAGCATCAAACTGGGCAGGATGTCAAAGTGGACTCTGGTTGCTGATTGGTGGAGCTGGTCAGTCGTCATC